TATATATATATATATAATGCTTTCAATGAAAACATTCAAGCATTGTCAAAAAGTTTGGCTAAGTGCTTGTTTTAGAAGTCTTTTTCGAAGAATTACAAGGGGGGTGTTTGGCTGCAAGTAGGATTTAACTGGATTTATTAAATCTACTTTGCTAGATTTATTAAATCCGGATTTAACATGAATCGAAGGTAAAATTTGGACCGTAAATCCGAAATTTCATAAATCCATGGAACTTATGTTTTTTTTTTTAATGTTTGGATGGATTTAATAAATCCGACGATAAATCTTGTTAATAGGGGGTTACCAAACACCCCCAAAAGGTCTGTAATTAAAAAATGAATTGAATATCAATTTTTGACCCCCCTAAATTATCTTAGTTTAAATTTGTATAGAATTTAAAATAATTGATGATAACCTCAATATAGTGATAAATGATCTCACAACAATGTGGAAACTCCCACAAAAGATCTAGTGTGTTGCTCCAAATTAATGAACATACAATCATTATAAAATAAAGTTTTTATGGCTAAAAAATAATTAGACCAACAACTTGGATTTGGTTACTATGAGAAGCATGCTAGTTGTAAAACCTAACATTAAAGAAATGTGCACACTAGAGCAATGTCATAATATTTCGATGCAGTCCTACACTTAAAATGAAATGTGATTTTGTTGTATGAATTATCTCTTCCATGGACTTACGGAACAAACCATAATAGTATTTTATATTTATATTTCATTATATATTTTATTATTATTTTATCATTATTATTCTTCATTTTATTATTTTTTTCATTATTATACTTATATTGTGTATTATTCTATCTTCTCATCATTATAGGTAATATTTTTTATCTTTATTTCATTTATGTATTTTATATCATATTTTTCATTGATTAATAGTTATCATTCCATCTTATTTTTGATATATGGATTCATTATAATTTTATCCTCTCAATAATTGATATAGAAATGTATGTACATATTTCCAGCTAGAGATATTTACTTTGCCTATTTTTCATATACATTGGGATTTCTTTCATCCAAGAAGTGCCCAAAGAATAGTTTTTCATGTCATTTTGCCATGTTTTTCACAAAAGTGCTAAGTTAAAAAGATGTGATTTTTTTTTTCCTTTTAGAAAAGATCATATATATTGGGTACATAAATAGGCAAGTTGATTTTTTTATTTAGCATTTTTATCATTTTTTTGGTTGATAGATTTTTGTTAAATAGTCCATAATTTAATGATAGAGGGAATTAGTTAATCTATTTGTATGCATAGGATCCTGGTGGAAGATAATCAAAAACATCGAGCAGATTCTCAAAGAAGATTAAATCTAATTATGAAAGAAGTGGTTAAAAAAGAGATATTAAAGTGGTTAGATGCATATATTATCTATCCTATATATGATAGTGCATGGGTTAGTCCTAGTCACTATGTTCCAATGAAAGGTTTAGTTATTGTAGTTGTAAATGAACATAATGAATTAATTTCTACCAGACATATCATATTTTTGTTTTTTAGATGAATATTTTGGATATCATCAAATACCTATAGCTCCGGAGAATCAAGAAGTCTACATTTAATAGCACGTATGAGGCTTTTGCTTTTAGAAGGATGCCCTTTGGGTTAAGTAATACACCTGCCACTTTTCAAAGGTGCATGATGTTTATTTTCTGTGTTTGTAGCATGTTGTGTTATTGTTTGTTGTGGATTGGATTATTTTTTTAGGTTTGAGATGAATTGTTGTGATTGTAGTAAGTCATGTGAGATTGTGAATCTACAGTCTTCTTGTTAAGATTAGATTGTAGCAAGGTTTTGGAGGTAGTAGTATCAACGTTATCCTGTATGCTTTTGTTCTTAACCGAGCTTAGGTCTATCCAGAGTCATGCTAGATTTAGTATTTGGAAGAGTCCATCTTAATTCTATTACTTCATTTATCTGACCTTGTTTTTTATCAGGTGAGTCCAATAACCCGATTGTAGATGAACATGTAGATGATATTTTCATTCTTCTTATTTATTATTAGAAGTGTTTGTTTTAAAGGAAATTCTATTACTTCATTTATCTGACCTTGTTTTTTATTTATTATTAGAAGTGTTTGTTTTAAAGGATGAGGGAATTCTTGAGGTTGGAAAAACATAAGCTAACATATTATCGGTTTGAACCTAATAAAACATCTAAAAGCACCCATTAAATATTTGGAAGGAGATTCCATCCAATATTGAAAGTAAGGAAGGGAGGTGAGCTGAGAAGCTGGAAAAGTTAATTTGTATGATCTATTATGTTTGTGTTTTTTCTAGTGTGAATTAAGACTTGAGGATGAATAACATAGTCAATTGATATGATTTAAACCAAATTCAGAGCAGGCATTAAGGCATCGGGACCTCTAATATAAAAAAGATAGAAGACGAATTGGCACCTAAGTGCCTAAAGCTTGGTGCCAAGGCACTCAAACCCGAGCACCTTGGCATCCATATCATGGTGCATAGGCACCAGAGTCACCTGCTTGACAAAAATTGGTCTGACATCCCTGATTTAGGTCATTTTCATTAGACTTTCTTCCCGACTCTATTGTAGCAAATTTAGGATGACACTAGGATTCCTTTCTCTTGCATTTGGATCAATCTTGAAGCAATAGAAGCTTGGAATTCCTATTACAAAGGTGAAATTATATATCTTTAAACTTGCATTTCCTTCTTCATTCAAGAAATGATTTTTTGATTTAACAGTGAAGGAGAGGAAGTTGTTGGGGAGAGATTGATTTTTCCTTGATTAACATATTGTGTGCATCTACGTTTCATTTAAGGCCTCCTTTCATCAACATTTTTTATTAGAAATAATTTTAATGGCTCCTAAAACCGAAGGATCCAAGTGAAAAACTCCTTTAATTGGAAGAAATTTATTAGCTGCAAAGATCAAGAGCGATATAATGAATTTCTGTGTTAAAGAAGCTTATTGCCGAACAGGGTTTCATTAGCACTGGGGTCAGGTGGAGAGCATGATTGTTCTCCCCACTTGGAAGCCTTCTGCTACACTATTATTGTAGCAGTAATTTCTGTAGTTTGGTATTATACAAATCTCTCCGAGGTTGTTGAAGAATCAGTCTTTGTGAGGGAAAAGTGAGTGGATATCTCATCTTCACACATTAATGCACTATTTTCGTTGGGTGATGTCCCTGGAAGTTTCTATTTCAGCTTTGTCTCCAGTGACTTCGAGCTTGGTGATATCATCAGATTTTTAACTAATAGTAGAGGAGAGTGGAAAGTGAGAAATGATCATAAAATTAATTTTTCTTCAGCCCATCTCACTACATCATCGAAAGCCTGACATTACTTTATCTCTGCCAAGCTTCTTCCTTCCACTAATCTGAGTGAGATGATAGAGAAAGAGCTAACCTGAACTACTGTATTCAGACAATGAAGCCTATTGATGTCAGTTCTGTCATTTATCAGGCTATTGTTAATGCTGCAAAGGCAGATCTACTCAAGTGTTAGGACACCCATCTTTTATTTTTTACCCTTTACCGGCAATATAGAGTTGGTTTTGAGCCTTGGGAGGAACTTCTTCACCCATTAAAGCCCATCAGTAAAGCAATATAATTTTATATGATAAACATGCTATTTTTGGGCATGAAGAGAGTTCTACTTAGGCCCCTCTCACCCATTAAAGCCCATCAGTAAAGCAATATAATTGTATATGATAAACATGCTATTTTTGGGCATGGAGAGAGTTCTACTTAGGCCCCTCCTTCTTCTTGGCCATCAACCTCTTATTCTCACTCTAGACTTCCATGAGCTTAGCTTCCATGTATGAGCGATTGAAGATTATCAAGTATGATCTTGCCATTACCCATGCTTAAGTATAAGATAATTCAGATTTTTTTGGCGTATATGGATTGGCAGATGAAGCATCAAAGTGATCACAAAGCTTGTATTTATGATGCTCAACTTAAGATGTATTGGCAAAATTAGTGGATTGGGGGTGATAAATCGGTGGAGTTTACTGCATATCCCCTATACTAGTTGTATGAGTGTAATAAGGCTATGGAAGAAGATTTTGATCAAGAAGCTGATGTTGAAGGCGATGAATTATGAGGATGAGGATTAGAATTATATTCCAATGTTGATGGGATGCACTGGGCATTTTCTTATTTCTACTGATGTATTGATGTATTTCAAACTGGACATTGTTCTTGTTGCTATTGTTGTTGTACTGATGTATTTACTTTTAAGTGAAGAAAAGTGATGAGTTTAAAGTGATGAGTTTTGACTTTTTTTGACTTTAGAAAGAGGATAGTGAAATTCAAAACTATTTAAGGTCTATCCAAATATTTTAATCCTCAAATAAATGTACTAAGTATTAAAAAGATCCCGAAAAAAAAAAAAAGAAAAAAAGGAAGAAATAAAAGAAAAATATGAAATGGTGAGGAGAAGCTTGAGGAGAAGCCTAATAAAAAATTAATATTACTTGAATCCTCTTAAAGGAAAAGAATTAGATATAATCCTAAACTTGTTTTTATTTCAGGAAGTATTAGACAAATTTTAAAAAAT